TATATTTATTAAACAAATATTTATAAAACACGAAAACTGCCGAAAATTTCTGAAAAACAACTTGAAGTTTTTAATAAAAAAGAAAATAATCCATTAATTTCAGTGTCAAGAAAATGTTTTTACATAAACATTTTAATTAAATAAAAATCGGTAATGTATTAATATAATTAATTTTAATATTTTGTGTGTTGACCTCCAGAGTCGGTAACTGCCTGCAGTCTGCTTTTCATTGATTTAATTAGGTTTTCTAGGTCATACTCGCCAGGATTTTCTCCCATTCTTCATTAATATACCATATCAATTTATTTCGGTTCTTTGGATTTCTTTTTTCCACCTTCTTTTTTAAATGTGGGTTGAGATCTGGGCACTGAGGAGATGCATCTAATACTCTACCGCAGTTATAAAGGAGCCAAGTTCTTACGTTAAGCGCCTTATGTTTTGGGTCGTTGTCTTGATAAAACTTAAATTTATTTCCTTCGAACCCAAATTTAGATGCACTATTTCGTAAGTGGGACCGCAAAATATTTAGATATTGCGTAGCATCCTTATGGCCCTCAATATAAACAAGATCTCCAACTCCTTTGCTAGAAATTCAGGCCCATACCATCACGGAAAGCTTACCGAACTTAACAGCTGGTATAATATTTTTTTGGTTCAAAGCTGTTAAGGGTTGACGCCACACTCTATTAGGAGATTCGTTATAATAAAGCATAATATTCGTATCGTCACAAAAGATAACATCTTCCCAAAAAGCATCGCTATGTGAAATATGACTTGTGGCGAACGATAGGCGCTTTTCTTTGTTTATTTGTGACAATAGCGGGTTTTTTCGTAAAAAAGTACTTTCTAAATTTACAACGTAATTCTTTAATGCTCACTTCAACACTAACTTTTAGCTTTATCGCGATGACGCGTCGCTGTCAACGGTACTTTCTCCATCAATTTAAATTTCCAGGAATCGAAACATTTTGCATTTCTACATAAAACGCTGTTTGTAAAAACATTTTTTTGACAGTGATCTAAGTGGCATAATTTGTTTTTGTTACTGTTTTTTTTATTTCCTTTACAAAATTTTCGACAGTGCTTATGTTATATGCCTGCTTATGCACTACATATATGTTGAGTAAAAAATTAAAGAGCTTTTAACGACTTAACTTCATTTTATTTAAAATGGAAGAGTCAAATCAAAAATTTTTGGGCTTGTAAAAACATTTTCGTGGCAAACTGTATGTACATATACCATTTTTAACTCACACACTGATCGTCATATTGCTCATAAAGTTTGTTAGAAAAACGAAAATCATTATATGTAGTATATGGGAGTTGGGGTAATAACGACCCGGTTTTATCTATTTTTGCCAAAAACAGATTTTCCCTGGGTTTCATAAAGTATCTCACATACAATCACCAATCATATATAGTAAAGTCAGCCGGATGCTCGAAAATCCTAATATTAGTTTTATGGGAGCTAGGTCAAGTTTTTGCCCAATTTTATTTATTTTAGGCCCAAATGTGTACTGTTATGATTAAAACATATTCTAGAATTTGAGAAAACTCAAATAGATGGGCATAAACGGATCACTACTACGCCCGCAAAACACAATTAACTGTAAACTTATAAAGTGCCATAATTAAGCACTAAATTAAGATATAGAAATGTAATTTAACACAGGAGTCGCAGTAGCAAAGGGCAACTGTGCCTAAAAGGTTTTAAAAATGTAGCCAATAAATTTTGTTCTTCTCCTTTACTAGCGTAGAAACCCCTTAAGCGGTTATAACCGAGTAAACACTTAAATTTCAGTCGTTGGGCATGCTTTCGTCCGATCATATTTTACAAAGAAGCTGATGCATGCTCCTTATGAGTTCTGTTTTCTCTTTGCTGCGACACGGCACACCTCGTCGTACTAGCTGTTATTTTGCATTCTCCGAAAACCAATGGCTTCGGTTGCAGCTGTACGTAAGGAGCTTGAAATCGGGTCCCACAGTTCCCTTATATCGACTTGTTGCTTTCAGAGAGCAGGAGTGCAAGCCGAGTAGAAAATCGTTCGGCTATCTGTTGTGACTGCAGCTTTGCGACGTCGATCCTTCCTTGTGTTTGTTGACATGCGTTTCTTGCTGCATAGAGGCGGGTGCGAATCTTGGCTGCAATGAAATAGTGGTCCGAGTTGTTGTTAGGACCTCGCAGCGCATGCACGTCAAAAACACTGGAGACATGTCTTACGTCTATCATAACATTATTGATCTGGTTAGTAGTTTTTCGATCCGGAGAGAGCCAGGGAGCTTGATGAACTTTTCTATGCTGGCATCTAGTACAACATATAACCATATTTCGGGCACCGGTGAAGTCGATCAGCCTCAACCTATTAGGGATGTTTCCTCGTGGAGGCTGAATTTACCGACTGTTGCGCCAAAGATACCTTTCTTGCCCACCCTGGCGGTCAAATCGCCAAGCACGATTTTGACATCGCGACGGGGGCAGTTCTAATAGCTGCGCTCCACGCGCTCATAAAAGGCATCTTTAGTCACATCGTCCTTCTCTTCCGTTGGAGCGTGGGCGCAGATCAGCGATATGAAGAACTTTGCGTTGATGCGGATTGTGGCTAGATGTTGATCCTCCGGGGTGAATGGCAGTACTCGGCGAAGGAGTCTCTCTCCTACCACGAATTCCACACCAAACTTGACCTCCTTTATAAGGCCACTATAGTAAATGCTACAAGGACCTACTTACCTTCGTCTTTGTCCCGTCCATCGCATTTCTTGGACGGCGGTGATCCAAGGATTCACACTAAAGAGGCCAGCTGGGCAGGGGCAGTTTCTCAATTAGGGAACCGAACATTCCAGGTGCATGCCCTCAAATCGTAGCCCTTAGTTCATTTGTCATGGTCGTGATCAAAAGAGGGGTCTCTCATCCGAAGCAGTTGGTAATCTTCATTGGGGGCGCTTTTAACGTGGCGAGTCCCAAACCCAGCGCACATTTATGTGAAGGGGGTGTTTCGCCTTCTCACTTTAGCTCGCCTTCGAATTGTTGTTCTGAGTCTACCCAGAGGATACTTGGTTAAAGACCGGAAGTCGTGAGCTGCTTGAACCATATATAAAAGAATCGTTTCTTGCCACTCCCAAGTGAATGGCGATCAGAAAACTTTCTTCACTTGCGTGAACTTGTACACATGACTACATAACTTTACAATAAGTCAGTGCGTAGAAATTGACCTCCACCGCAACCAACGTATCGCCATTCTTAGTGACAGTCAAGCGGCTCTAAAAGCGATCTGAGCATATGAGATCAATTCGGTTTTGGTAGAGAAAGGCAGAACCGCCTTTATTTGTGTAAAGGGATTAAGAGTACCACACTTTTAAGGAACTGCTCCGCACGGAGGAGAGAGCGTGAGGAGATCAGCACAGCTGCTTCTAACTAATTAACCTCCCCCGTTATAAATTCCGCCTCCTCGTCGCGCTCTACACAGGGCACTGCCGGCTCAGGAAGCACTTGTTCAGCATAGTCATATTCTCTTGTGCTAACTGCCGC